TGAACTTCAACAGTTTCAACAGCTTGTAAAGACAAATGCATTGCCACTGATATGTTAGACAAGGTCTGAAATAACCTCTGATTATTAGAGTTCGCACTTTTAACAAATTAAGCTGACATGCCTTTTCGTGTGTCAAGGGGGGGCGGGGGTCCGTTTCTTATCCACGGCCGTTTTAGACGCACTGTAAAAATCCCCGTGGTCTTATATTTTTAAAATAAGAATCCAATGCTTCAGCGAATGTCTTACCTATGTGTCACTTGCAGCATGGAGATGCCACTGGCACTCTATTAATTACATAAAGCATCTAGTGTCAGGATGCTGAATTCATTAGTGAGGTATGCACGGCATGCTAGGGTCAGGACAGATATAGAAGCAGGCCTCCAAAGCAGCCTCTTCCAGCACTTGACACATTTGTTTGAAATAATAAAGCCCCGTACTTTGTCTTTTTTTTTTTTTTTACAACAATCCACTTTTTTTTTAAATTAATTTGACTGTGTGCCTTGAGCATGTACGTGGAGACCAATCCGTGGGTCATGATTATCTTCCCTGCATTCAGCTGCTACAAATGAATAACAAATGTTTTTTAATTTAAATATTCTATTCTTACCTGATTTTTAATTAAGCTTATTTTTAAAATAAAATAAAATGAATGACCTGTACCGCATAATAAGGCTGATTAAGGGCACCAGAGGTATTGCGTTTGTCCACATAAATCTAGTTTTTTGGGAAAATTCTTAAGACTGGAAAGAAAGCCACTCTGCTGTAACATTAGGCTGCTTATCCACTTAGGCTGTGAATAGGTTAATTTCAGATAAATTGCTGGATGTTTTTATTTTTGGTGAGTTATATTTATGTAATATCAAGACTTTTTTTTACATATGTGGAAATTCTTGGTGACATTACAGTCAACCCCGTTAATACATTTTGATTTAATATAAGTAGTTCTGACTTTTGTCCACTTAGATTTGTACTCTTAAGGCCAATAACCAACATATTTGCTGTTTTACTTACTTTTTGCAGTTTTTTCAGTTAAAGTTAAAAAAAAAAAGGTTTAAAGGCCGAGTCAAATTTTTACTCTACTAATATTTCCCATCTGTACGTCACTTGTTCTTTTTTTTTTTTATTGCAACAGAGGAGCGATGACTTAAAGTTAGACTTAGAGGGGGTTCACATGAGCCAGAAACTGGGACTTTGTAGGCCAGTTGAATAAACTGAGGACTCACCTTGCCCGCAAAGACCCAACCTCTGACACACACCATCACCAAAGTCAGTCCCAGCACAGACAACTGCGCGAGGAGATTCGTTTTAGATATGTCCTATGACTATAACGATTTCCCCTTGTTCAGAGCAGACAGCTGTCGGGATGCGAAAGGCTTTTTAATCCAGTCCATACATACCGTGTGATGCGCTGCCTGTCCGCGTTATAGGACAAGAGGGCTACTGGCGGGTTGTCGTTACCTGCGCACTGGACAGGTGTCAGCATCCTGGGCCCAGTGGGGGACTTAAGTCAGAAAGCGCCCCGGCAGTCTGGTTGGCTGCGCCGCCGCGTCTGCAAAGCTAAGTTTAACTTCAGCGTCTATCCACTACCGGCACCAGCTCCAGCACCACCTCCGCCCAAGTAATATGTGAACACTTGGTGCTGCGCGCATCCCAAATTGTGCAAGAATATGCTTTTGGGGGAGGAGGGAGGGGGGTAGGCTGGTGGGGGTGGGGGGTGGGGGGGTGCACGAATTGTCTTTTGGAATAAGTCGGACAGTCCCTTTTGGCCAATCTATTACCGTCTGTCCAAGGAGAGAGAGAGTAAAAGAGCATGCAACAGTGTCGCCTTGTGTCGGTCTCCCAACCCCCGCCCTCCCTTTCTTATAGAAAAATTTAAAAAAATTAAAAAACCTTTGCGATTCTCACCGTAAAATTCCACAACCACCCCTCTTCCTCCTGCCCGTGCGCACCCAGTCGGTCCCCCAATATCCACTATAGAAAGAGGAACAGAAGGAGGAAAAAAAAAGGTTGCAGCCTGATGCCACTGTTGCCATGCTGCAGCCTCGAAATTATGAGCAGGATATTCCCAAACAGCTGGAAGGAGGTGATATATGGTGCTGCTCCCCTCGTGCCGGGCCCTCCCCAAAATGGACCGGTACTAAGTGCTAACCTGGTTATTTTCAGCGCGTCGCGCTCGTCTCCAATTATAGGTTTCCGTGAGAGGGCGCGCGGCGAAAGTGGCCCCCGCGTTTGCAATTATTCTCAAAAAAGGTGACTTGAAAAAACCGAGAGCCACTACGCGGGATAATGTCCGAGCATGTGCGTCTGGCTGCCCCTCAAACTGCACACATTCCTGTGGGGCGCAGTCGGGTCGCACGTCCATATAGGCCCCCGCTCCGCCGCATCTCCGGCGTCGGCGGGGCGGCTCGTCTGCGCCCCGCTCAAGGTGTTCCCCTCTTTTTTTTAATCGATTTTGAGTCTTTCCACATCCCAGGTCCATCACACCTCTCCCGTTATCTCCCCTCACCAGCTACACGCTGGTGTACCGCGACCTCTGGCGACAGCGACGCGCCATGACACTTACGTCCGCCACTTACTGCTCTATTCGGTTCAACTGATCACGTGGTTGCTGCGCATCAGGTGGCAATTACAGCATGACAGCTGGATCCTGTCAGCCTAATTTGATCCATGAGTTCAGTTTAAACGTCTTTATATATATATATGTATGTGTGTGTGTAGATACTATATGTTTTTATTCCACCATTTATTCCACCATTGTATGTTTATTGTATTTTTTGTTTTCGTCTATTGTGTTTAGAATGCAGTTTTCTTTGCTTTTCTTCTTTTTTTTTTGGTTCGATTTTTTTTACTAACCCACTTGTTCTTGTTTTGTGGATATTTCGTCATACCCCACTTTTAGAGCCGCTGTTTGACACTCACATGGGTTTCGGTCAGCTGCTTCACCGAGGACCAATAGCACAGCCTGAGATGAGAGCGAATTCTTCTCAATAAAAGCTGGACCGCAGTCTGGGTGCATTTAAAAAAAGAAATTAAAAAATAGTCAGAATATGAGATGCGTTCTGGAATCTTGTGTCTCCTTGCGTCCACGTTTTCCCCTCGTTTTACCGAGATCTGCCTTCAAAGACCGCAGGAGAAGCTGGTTTATTTGTGAAGGGTTTAACCGGAAGCCACGAGCTACGTGAATTCCAGCTTCACGTTAAGCAGCAATGCCCGACTCCTTGCCTGTTCCCGACAAGAATAGCCCGGGATCTCATCTTCAAGCAAATTCATTAATTGGGCATCAACAGGACGGATGTTCACCGTCATCCGCCTCGGCACGTTAACGTCTGACACCTGTCGGTGAGTCTTGGCTCCATTCATAAACCTCTTCGTCATCCCCGTTAACAGCCGGAACAGTTTCATGCCTGTATTAGTTCCCGACTTCTTCCAGTTTTCCCCTTCAAAGTCAGTTTCCTTCGTCACTTTGAGGTTAAAATCAGTTATTTCGAAAGGACTTTAATCCCATAGGTCCAAACGTCAGGTCATGAGAGTCCAGTCCTTGATGAAGTGGATCAAGTTTTATTAAACAACGGCATGACGTCAGTGTGCGTGAGGGGAGTTAGTTTTCATCAGTGAGGGAATTGAGAAGAGCCTTTTTTGAAAGGAAAACAAGAAAACGCGATAAAAACAGTTTTGCAGCTTCATGAATACTGTTGGCAAAATGTTGTATGGAAATTTTCGGGGTCTACATAACATTTTTTAAATCTAATGCAGTTCAGAACTCCCTTTATCTTGAATAGAGAGTAACCAATAACTTCATATTTTGGGTAATTTCTTCCACTCTTTATGTATAATTCCTCCAATGAATTATAGAGAATTTGCAGAGCAGATTATTTTAGCCTCACTGTCTCTCTAAAATAATTTGTTCCCCACTGTATCTTGAAAAGAGTAACCAATCCCCTCATATTTTGGGCAATTTCTTCCATTTCTCGTAAACAATGACTTCTGTGAATTTCAAAAAGTTTCCCCTTTCTTTTGCAAACTTGAGGGAACAGATTATTTGAGATTTGTCTTCTCACTCTGAAATATTCTGTTCCCCCAGGTTACTTTGGTAAGGATAGAACAAATACATGAGATAGCTGTGTATGATGAGTTGAGGAAATTACGTTACATCAGTAATAAATCTATTTAAGAAAAGCATTTCTTAGAAAGCAAAGCACATTAAATAACACTGATGATTAAAAGTTATGATATAAAGTTATGATCTCTTTCATTTATAGAAATGTGTTATATTTTACATTTGAAACGTGATATACAACAGTTACAAGGAAACTTTGAATGTTTTGATGAATCTTTGATTTTCACAGTTTTTATATGCAGCCAAAAAAACAATCAATAAACACGATTAAAATAGGGGGGGAGAGTCCAAATTAAAGCTCTTCGTGATGCTGGATATTCTCTTGAAAGACTTGTCAGTTTGTCTCACAGGAATCTTTTACAGAGAACATAAGAAAGAAAGAAAATGGCATGAGTGATAAGAGTTCTGGTTTTAAAATGTGCAGTCGCAGAAAGAATAATAATGATTCTGAATCAGCGGTGCCTTTCCTCTGCCCACACATTGCTCCCCTTTCTATGCACTGCGTGTCACCCTCTTCTCCCTGTAGTGCGGGGGGGCCAATAAGCAGCGGACACAGCAGCCCACCGGCTGCAGGCAGCACTCTCAATGGTCTCCCCCACCATGAAAGCAGTTGTGGACGCTGTGTGGGCGGTGTGGAGCATCGGGGCCTCCATCTATGATTACATCAACACCAACGCTATGGAGGAGCGCATCCACGCCCTGGAGAACGTCATAACCATCCACCAGTGCGTGATCGGGCTTTTGTCTGCTGGTGTGCTGGCGCTGTTCACCTACATCCTCTTCAAGAAGCTCTGATGACATTTTTGAACCGGAAGGCTCAGGTGGAGGTGTTCAGAATTCTTTGTGGTAAAAAGGAACGGGGGGGAGGGGGGGGGGTCACATATTAAATACATCTTTAAAGCTCTTAAGAGCTGTGATTGGTGGTCTGCTTCCACAATGACCAATAGGAAAAGTGGGCACCTTCCATATTTTCCAGCAAAGTTGTGAGAAGCAATAGGATTTCTAAAATCACGATCAAACTATGAAGTTTTTTTTTTTCAATTATCATCTAGTTATTACACTACCTTTTCCTAAATATCTTGGAAACACTTATGATCTGTTCATGGTGTGGAACTTCTCGAATATTTCTCTTAGCTCTGCACAATGAGTTAACATTCATAAGAAGGCATAATTAATGTCCCAATATGAAAACATTTTCATTTTAGAACTGGAATTCATATGTAATTCTAAAGGCAAAGTCAGATATATTCCTAAAAGTTGAAAACCCCTAAAATAAACTTTGAAGTGTACTTTAGCAGCCATTAGCTGTTTGGGAATTACAGTCCCAGTTCTAGTTTTTCAGAGTGTTGAGCAAAAAGATATCTGAACAAATTTAACATTTTCTCAGGTTAGTTTTCTGCAGGATATGACTTCAGGCAATTAGTTGCTTTTAGAATTTTAGAGAACAAAATAATCTGTTGATTTCATACAAAACCATTGCAATATATATATAGTCAGTAATTATTTACAGAGAAAACGTCAGCATGACTATTTTTTTTAAAAGGGATCGCTATTGAAATTTATATTTGTCTGCCTTAAATTAACTTTTTTTTGTTTGGTTTCGTTATCTCTTAAAGCCCAAATGAGATATGAAAAAAATACTTGATATTCCTAATGTGGTGTTAACGATGGTGTCATTTGAAAAGGTGAAGGTATTTAAAACAACGATGTCCCTTAAATCATTTCAACCTTTCACCCCAAAATTGTGCAAAAGGGTCTCTTTTGATCTTTTTTTCTTCACTATTTAACAATTTCTTAACTGGAGAATTAGACTCACAAGATCTTAAAGCCCTTTTGCAAGTGTACTGGCCAAGATGAGCATCAGCTCAATTGAATTATAAGAGACCCGCTACTAATTCAATAAGACTTTGTCCATGACTGTTCCCTTTTTTTAATTTGTTTTTGGATGTCAGATGAGCAAAAACATGTCCGGTAACCTTTTGTGATACAATTTTATAGATGGATGTGTGTATTGCCAACAGTTTTGATTCATTGCTATTTTCTCCATGAGCATTTTGTTATACCTCATTACTTACATCAATGTAGTTGTACTGCTATTTTTTTAAAGCACTAATTTTAAGTGTCCTTAAACACTGTATGTATACTTGGGGGCTGAAGGCAATTCTTAGGCGTACTACTGTTGCTTTGTATTAATAGATTGTGTCCCATAATGACATTTTGTACCATAAAAACCTGCAATTTAAATGAGGTAATACATGGTAGGCAAACACTGGTTAATAATGTAGTATCAAGTATGTTTTTGGGAATATCCCCTTTTGTTTGTTTTTTTTTTGTTCAAATTACATAGTGTTGCTAACCTGCCAAAAGACCTGCTGAAGGAAGTTGGCCAATGAGAACTGCAGTACTTTGCAAAAAGTCTTGTGCCATTCCTCATTTCTTTATTACAGGGAAAATGTATTATATATTTTACAAAGATATTCAAACAAAATATAAATGACTTGTTTAAGGAAAACAAGGAGCTTGCACAATTCTTCTGCCCGTTGAATGTCAATAATTCTTAATCTTGTATGTGCACTTTTATTCTTTATCTCAGCCCTAACACTCTTAGTGAAGATTTCTACTAATTTCTTTTATAGTTTTACATGCCAAGGTGAGTCCCAAGTCACAGGACACCATTTTATGTCAGAAACTAAAGGGGAAATTACATATCTGACCAACTGAGCAAGTTATGGATGAGGGGGTCCGCCCTTTTTTAAAGTTTCCATATTGAAAGTCGCCATATTGAATCTAGGGCAAGCTTTTCCAATGGGAAGGTGGTCATGTAACATATCAAAGACCAAACTTGTCTCACAAATCTATTGCAGCAATCAGATTTACTAAATATTTTGAGTTTCAAAAGTAATCAACACAGTATGTAGCAACAACTGCACACACTTGTCGCGATCCACAGCTATTTCACATGTTCAATGTGCTGTCCCTGGTGCTGAATAGAGCTGGTGGCACAGGATCCCATCATTTAATATCTCCAGAGATTCTAATACAGGTTTTTAAGAAAGGCCATTGCTTACTGGGTAATTAAGATCTGTCATTTTTCCAGTTGTTTCTGAAAGACCTTGTTTTTTTGCAACTTTTAATTCACCTTGTATATCATCATTATCCCACATTGCTAAGTGGGCTCTTTGTGGGGGCCAATGCATTGTTTTTTTTCTATAAACAATAACTAATGTTTAAAGAGTTTTTTGGGGATTCATGGTCTGCTAAAACATTGAGACATTATCAATTAGAAGCTTTCCACATAATATTGCATGGTAGATCAAAGTCTGGTGTTCATATTTCCACTCATTTTCACAGGATTCCCCACCATTCCATTGGCTAAATTCAGGTTCACACCATCACTGAACCTCTACTGTTTCTGTTATTCTTACTTTTTTACATGCATATAAAAAAGACCATTTTAAGTAAAACCATTCCAATTTGAATTCAACACTCCACTAAAACTCTGGTACTTGTGTATTTTCCCTGTGTTAACCTACCAGAAGACTTGCTTCTTCACAGCCAACCTTCAATGGAGAATATTTCTCACCACGCATCAATGGACAGCAGCTGAATTAACAAAATATCATGATGTATCTCTCAGGTCCTGTATCAGGTGTTGGCCATAAATTCTTTCACGTTCCAATTTTCCTTTTTTCTTTCTTCTACTTGCCATGCAGAAAAATTGAATGTGGACATCTAAATTCTCTTTGTGAATCACATTGTTGGTGCAAAAAACACTTTCAAGTTTGTCGACATTTGTTTATCTGCTGCACTTTGTATTTACAAAGTCTATATGCTAAAGAAATGTATCAAAATGTGTGAACAACTGTTAGTTACAAAGTGCCTAAAGAAACCATTTAAAATGAGTTCTTTGCCAAGTTGTCTCCCATATATAGACAGACCACTGGCTCATTTATTGAGTTAGATCCCTTGTTAATGCTCAAGAGATTTATAAGTTAGTGATATATGACTTACAAACTAACGTTTCCATCTCAAAATGGTTGGGTACAAGGCCTTACCGAACTTAAGATATAAAAAAAGAAGATTAGTTTTGAAGATTAGCAGAAATTTTGGCTCCTTTGAAGAAATGAGGTGTGGCTCAGGACTTTTTTTCTGCAAATAAACGTTGTTATATTTTCGTATTTGTGTCATGCCACTGTCCCAGAAAACATTCTCAGACAAAAGACTGTTTTAATGTTATAACAGCATCAAAGCTTGTATTCCAAAAAATGACAAATGTGGAATTCAATAAAACTGGACTTTCCCAATAAAGTAAATATTTTGAAGATTGGTATTCTTATGAAACACAGTAGATGTTTAGACTCAAAAGTTAATAGTCGTTAGAACATGGCAAAAATCAGCTCAATCAAAACTAAACTATATAACACAGAATGATTAAGAGGAACCAGCAGGCCATTTGTAACCTGACAGTAAAGCTCAAGCTTCATGAGCAGGAGAAGCCCCATGTTTGTTGCAAATGTGGCTGTCTCCATAACCAGAACCTCCCTCACAAGTGTCCAGTCTGTAGTAGAGTATATTTGGCGGTGTATCTCTCCACACTCTCCCCTTCCAAAAACTTCATTGCTCTCCAGTGGATTTTTCCGCAGTTCTCTGGCTGGCCGAGTGGCCCAACCTCGTCCTGGATATACTGCAACCACAGATCTGCGGGAAACAGAGAGCATTTTGGCAAAATCAGGTTCCATTTCCTTCAAAGTTTTTTTTTTAGTTTGGACGTGGATCCAACACTTAGCAAACTGTTTAGCTAGCAAACTGCATTAAAAGTCAATGGAAAAGTTGCATAAAGAAAGTGGATCCAAACTTGCGTTCATGAAAGATATTCCAGATTGAGGGACTAATCCACCTGAGGGTTCAGATGGCAGCCAGTCATGGTGGACATTTAACGTCACTGAGATCACGTTCATTGGGACAAATAGTTTTGAATGACTGCCTGTGATCAAATAGATACGAACAGACAAGCTTAACTGAGCTATTTGTGGGTCCCCAGCTGATATATATCGACACAGAACTGAAAAAAAGAGCAGGCATGTGGAAAAGTTCAAAACTGGGTCTCTGCTACTGGCTTTTAGCTTTAGCTTGTAATTAGTGCAGATTAAGATGGCACTATTGTTAACTGCCATTATTAGTTAAGTGGCATATTGTTTTAGTTACAGGTAAAACTAATGTAACCAGGTCAAATGTGAGGTCTGGTCTGGGAGGCCGCCGTTTTGTTTTTTCCTTTTCATGTTGCGTGCAAAAATATTAGTTTTAATGCCAAATAATACACAGTGCAAGTGCGATTAGTATAGAGAGGTTTTAACAAAAAACGTATGTACAGTATTCAGAGCAGAGGCAGCAATGTAAGAACATATTGAAATGCTAAACAAAGCCCTTTGAAAGATATATTTTTAGGAACCAAAGAATATTTACATTTTGCAAACTCACCTGCCAGTAATATACCCCCCCCAAAAAAGTGTCTCATTTCATGTTACAGGTGCAAAACTAGAGAGAAACTGTGAAAGATCTCAATGAGCTCAATTTGACTGCATACAAATTAATATTATAGATTAATAAACAACATAAAATTAATTTTATGAGGCGACAGATAAAAGGCAGCTGATGACAAATGTGAACTAACATGTTGCTGTAAATGTGGCTAATGGGATTTTAAAATCAACTGAGATTCCGAGAATGTATTTATCAAAATTTAAATAAAGGAACTTTTGTACTCCTTAACTGTGTGACATGAAACTATCAAAAAGTGTAACACCATTTTGACCCTATGACTCCTGAAGAGCATTCAAAGCTCGACTCACCATCGTCAAACGTGCCAAACTCCTGCAGCGCCCTCTCATAATAGTCTCTCAGATTGTTCATCTTGGGAGTCTCCTAGAAGAAAATACATGGTTCTCATGTTAAGAATTGCTTTATAGATTAACTTGTAAAACAAACAACCTTTCCCCATATCTTCTTTGGCAGAGAAAATTAAATCAGTCTTATCTCAGTTAGTTCAATAAAATCTGCAGCTAATAATCAAGGGCAGCTCAAAGAACTGAGATATTGTGAGTTTTTGTGCCTCAAAGTGAACAAAGACAATTCTTCTGGATTTATAGCTTTCTTTGCTGGAGTTGAACATACTTGATTCTTCTCGATTTGAATCATTTTGGTGAAAAAGGTCTTGGGCAGGGGCCGATTTTCTTGTAAGCTACAGAAAAGAAAGAACACAAATCAAAATGAAAATCACAAAAAAATGTATGAAAATGTTTTGTACATGCCAGTGTTTATTTTAATCTGTTTTTTGTTATGATCATTCATTACAAGAGTAAAACTTAATACGCAGTTACCTTGTAAATGTCTTCCTTGCTTTTTTATAGCCTCCAGTTGAGTAGGACCAATCAAGGTAGCTCTCTTTCATCTCCATGGCGACAGTTGCCACATCAGACAGAAGGCCTCTCTGAGACCAAGTAAAAAAAGTGTGAAATGCATTCTACCTCTGGAGGCTGATTCACACCGTTTTTGTTTATTGTCTGTTTGAAAATATGAATGAGGCCTGTATCTCCATCCTTTTTCCAAACATTAATTATCAATGTTTTTTCATGCCAAAATGTCTCATTTTAGTAGCCTAATAAAACACTTTGTAATAAAATACAACAAAGAAAAAGAATGTCATGTTGAGGTACTTTCAGACTAATTCAACGCTCTGGAATTGAAAACTGTTGCTATATGGAATAATTTATGGACCAATTCACTTGCTGAAGATGAGACTCCACCAAAATTATGTTTTTCCACTCCATGGGGCCCGGAGCAGAATCTAATTTTGGGACCCTCTATTTTCACCAATAATGATAAGTGAACATTAACACACCAACAGTAAATTAACACAGTAACTTTCTAATTTGTAATAGCGTAAATGAAAGACTTCCAGATTTTTGTTTTTCTCTGATCAAATAACTTTGATGATAGTATTTGTCACTAAAATATGCATAATATGCCATGTATTTTCATGACTAAGTGGTCATAGGGTCCTAAGCAGTTTCTTAGTTGAATTTTGCCTCGGTCTGGTTATGCCCTCAACTCAGATTTGTTTGGTTTTCCATTAGGTAGTAGAACCTGGTACCAGTTAGATTCTAGCACCTTATTGGCTGGGGTTTGGAGCGAGCTATGATGATTCCACAGACCACAGGCCATTTATTAGCTAGGGAGTTCAGAGAAATTTAAAAAATGCAACAAAAGTAAAAATGTGTTTTAAGTATTTTTGTGATCATCTGTGAGGTAAGTGGATAAAAAAAGACGCCTCTATGTCCTCTGTTGTGTCACTTACAAACGACACCACGGGACTTTTTCCCTAAACCGAGTAGTTGAGTCAAGCTGATGAATAAACGATTACATACTAGTGGAAAAAGTCTACCAATTTCTTTCTCAGGATCTTGGCCAGTGTTGATGAGTATCTACAACATTCATTTCAACACCAAAACCATCCTCTGTGTATTGGACTAACTGTAGATGTCAGGTTAGTTACTTTGAAAATGGCCTCTGTATCCTCCGGACTCTCATTAGCCATGCTCCACTGAAGCTGCATCTGCCACAGACACAGACTCTCCTGTGAAGACAGAAAAAGAAGTTGACATACTCCGTGTAGTTATGAATTCAGTATATCAACAGTCTTCATATACTTACATCATATAGATTGAAATGTATGTTCATTATTCATTGTGATCATTCATGGAGTCAGTTTCTCTACGTAAATTCTTATGATCTTCATTATTTACTGTTTGTATTTTCTAAATATAATTATTCCAAAGTGTTTTGTGGAAATGAGCTTGAGCCACTGCACCATCCTTAGATGAGCTGTTGTCAGATTCCAGCTTAGGCTTCAAAACACAATGATATCAGTGTTGCAAAGAGTTCAGCTGAAGGAAAATGTACATGGCCTAACCATGGCATGAATGGCCTGTGCCCACCTTAAGCCCGTGCTGACCAGGTGTGAGGTCAGCCTGAGCTACAGCAGATTTTAGAATGGTTGGTTTCTGTTTGTTTGTTTTTTTGCATAAACTCATTTTGTGAATATTTCTGTCGTATTTTTATTATTATGTATTATTATGCAACTTTGTACAAACCTCAGCATTCAAATGTGCCCATTTAGCTTTAACAAGAATTCTGCATTGACAGTGACATTTGCCAAGCTAGGTAGGATATTAATATAGCATTGTCTCTTGCTCCTTATTCTCCCCCATGGCTTTCAGTGGTTGGATTTTGAAAATGTTTGGTCTATTTCAGTGTCATTCAGATTGCAATCATTGGGAGAATGTTGTTGTGGCATGCTATCAGACCCACACTTTTAAAATTAGTCACTGGGTTGTCCGATTAGGACTAATCACTTGGCAATCTTAGCTGGCCTCTGTGAGACATATAACATTTCTCTGCTGTATGCTCAACCCCCCCCCACCCGCCCAACCCCTCTTAGGTTTCTTTTTAAATTGCATGACATTAAGCAGGATTAAGACCTTTTTACCCCACCGAGAAACATTATATCTTGCCAAATACCAGCCACACATTTGGAGGTGTGTTCCCTTTCTTTCAATTTAAAGAGAAAGACTTGCATAATGGGTAGTGGTGGCAGTAATCCTTATTACACAGCGACTTCTGAGGAAACCCAGTGTTGTGAAACACCAATGTAACAAGCACTTACTGTGTGTATTAATACGCGAGTTGTTGTTTTTTTATTTGCTGATTAGGTTTTGTACTTGACTGCTAAAGTTATTTCCCAACATGTTTTTATCAAAAGCAGAGAACATTTCTGACATGGAATAGAGACTAACTGGGCCAAGGAGATGGCCCACTTAGTACAGAAATACCAGTGGGCTTTGTGAATTTGTGTGTCCTTCCATGTGTGTCTGTTGTCCAGGGGATGACGATTAGATTCGGTACTGTGACACCACATGTGTGTGCTCAGTGTAGGCAGAGATAGCTATCAAACTGGAGGTGACAAAGGAGTGAAGACGAATTGATTGAGGTCAAAGAGTGTGTGTTAGTGTGGTACCTTGGGATTAACATGTGTGAGGGAGTCCTGGAAATGCCTGCTGATGTCTCCAGCCCCCTCCTGCATTAACGTTTGCAGACACAGGCACCACACTGACACCGAATGGCTGTATCGCTGCGTGGCTGCCGTGGCAACGCTTACTGCTTCCCCGGCGTCACCCGATGAGAGCAGGAGCTGCACCTGGGCACACGGAGAACATCACATTACTTTGTGCCATACTGGCTGTTAATCAATCAATCAATTAATCAACATTTATTTATACAGCACTTTACAACAACCGGAGCTGACCAAAGTGCTTTACAGAATAAAAACAGATCAAACTATCGAAATACACAAAGACAAACACATAGGTGACAGAACCCAGTATACAGAGACCCTACGTGCAAAAGGCTAGTATTTTGAAACATTACCAGCTCAAAACTTTGTTGAGCTGTTCAGGGATGAAAGTATCACACTCATTGAGTATTCGGGATTTCCACCCGATAAAGATTTGGTATCACTACCCAAATCTTGATCTAAAATAATAATGCAGAATGATGCATCATTCTAACAAAGTTGAATAAAAACAAACAAACAAACAAACAAACAAACAAACATCCACTACCGCAACAGTTCATCACATTAGCTGCTAAAAAAATAAATAAAGCAGTAGTCAAGCAAGGGTGAAGCCAAGGCCTATATGGGACACAAGGACGGACTATGAATGAACATGAAAAGTGTTTTCATGGGGCTTCAACTCGCCTTAGCATGTCTTAACAAGAGCTACGAAGAGCTCTCCTCTTAACAAATTTGTGCCTATACAAATAAATAATACAGTGTATGTCCTTTAACGGATGTGTGCCAGGACCATTAGAATATCTGCTTATAAGTTAGAAAGTTTTGACTGTCTGCACTCATCGACAGACCTATCTGTAATATCTCCTTCTTTAGGTAGCTTAAGTTTTCTGTCCGGAATCCTTTCGGTGAACATAATTATTAATAAACTACAACTCCGTTGTACATGCAAGTGTCAGTGTATGCACCAGGATCTAAATGCTGTTAAGCCTTTACATATTGAACAGAGATCTCACCCAGTTCTTGTAATATTCCTCTTTCAGTAGTGAGGCATCATGGGCACGTTTTAGTACTCCAAGCAGCCTTTCCTGCCTCTGAAACACAAACACATTAAACATGTGAGGATTTCCTCTTGAACTAAAACCCTTTGAGACTGTATACGATAGAGGAAAATGTTCATTTGTCACATTTACACACTTTTTCCTTCAGCTCTTGGACATTGGTCTTTCTCTTTTGTCTTTCCAAGCAGAAGGCCACATAGCAACTCCACATTGGCTCTAAAAGGCAAAGCACAGCCACATGAACAGCCATCTAAAATCCATTGTGAACCATTCAACAGCAAATTTGAACCTTAAGGACTGATTTAAAAAAAAAAAGGGGAATGTCGACAACATGCCCGTATTGTCTGGAGCTCTCACCGGTGTTCATGCTCTTGAGACCCTCCTCGTAGACCTGGCAGCAGCGTTCCTCTCTGCGGTTGATATCTGAGGCCCGCCCTTTGGCTGTTTGGAGCTCCTCCCCTACCCCCGGAGCCTCCAGCTGCCTCTTAGCCATGAAATTCCACGTCAAGCTATCCTCGGTGTAGTTTTCCTGTAAGCTGGAAACAAAGAGGTGGAAGATTGGAAAGCTCAAAAATAAAGTAAGGTTTGATTTGAATGCTCATATGTGAGGTCGTCTTTTTAAATAATTTTGCGCCTTACTCTTGCAGGATGGAGTCTTGGAGTTCTTTCGTGAAGTCAAAGATAGCTGCTATGTTTAGAAGTGAGATGACAAACTCTGCCTCTGTGGAGCAGGAAGGTTGATGGGGACAGGTAGAGCGATTTCCCAGATTAATTACAGGTAAAGTTAACACAGTTTTATTTATATAGCTAACTTAAAAACAAATGCAGCTGACCATTAAAAGATAAAAAACAATTAAAAAATAATAACAATGAAAAAATATGATACATAGACAAAAAGAGGAGTTTTAGCAGTGAATTGAACTGGAGAAGAGTGGGAGTAAATGTAATACTATTTAATACTATTTGTCTGGTTTGGGTTATGTCAAAGCAAATAATGCATTTTCAAAAGCTTCGATGAATAACATGGAGCCTTTCCATAGACATTTTAAAAGGAAACATGGGGGTGTTAATGTAGTCTTTTTCATTCGAGCTAAAAGACTTTTGGACTTTTCAATTTAGACCTGACTACAAGCGATGGATTTTTGACAGATTTAGGCTGACCGTTATAGAGATGTTATAAAGTTTTTTTTTTTTAATGCATCAAGTATAAATCTTGCACTTTGGTCCAAATAGCAACTTAATATACAGATTCATTTTGTTATTTTAACAAAAAATGTCAGACTATGTAAACAAATAGAACATAATATTTAGAGTTATCTAATCTTTTCATTTTGCAAGTGTATTGTGATTAAAAGTTCACCATTGATTTTTCCCGTAGCATCTTTGTAGACAACCTCAGCCAGTCTGCCACTCAGTATCTCTGGAGAAAACTCGTATTCACCCTGGAAGGTGTAAAAAAATAAGGCACATGTTACATTTACTGCACGTGTGTGTTGGCTTGCTGCACTTCAAAAGCAGTGCGTTTCACGCTCACCAGGTCCATTTCGGCCTTCTCCAGCTGTTCCTTTTGCTTCCTCAACTTCTCACAGTGCAGCAATTCCATACGAAAGTACTGACACAGGAATTGATTTATAGGGGAAGGGTTTAGTAAATTGGCATCACTTTCAACCATGCCTCCTGAATCTGAGTAGGGAACTTTTTTTTTTGTATCACAAGAGCATTTTCTGAGAATTTTACCTCCTGGTAGACTTTCTTGTTGTTTGGGTGAAAACGCAGAGCTCGCAGGAACAGGTGTCTGGCGCTTTCAGAAGAATCTCGATCCTCCAGCTCACTCTTAGCAGCCATGATCCAAAGGGCTGAAGGAAGAGGTTTCCGTTTCTTTTATTTAAAAGCACATTCACATATAGGTGGGATTCTGCCCACATTTGCCTCCATCACCCCATACCTGGCTTGTCAGGGTGGATGGCAAGCATAGTCGAGAACACCTTGCTGATCTGGCCTTTAGTGGCCTAAAGAGAGAAACCAAACACAATACTTTTTATAGAAAAAGCAGGCAGAAAGTCTGATTAGTCTAAACTTGAAGTGAAAGTGTAAATGTTTACATACCCATTTCTTGCAGAAGGCAATATGTGAGAGCCACAGCTGCACATCATCCTGTAAATCAAAATGACATTGGGCCAGTTTCATTCTGTGAATTTTTTTTACTATATTCCATGTTTTTTTTTTTCATTGCAGACATTACCTGCTCTGCTTTCTACTGTAGAAAGCCAAAATGAAATTGTGTTTATGTTTAGAGAATAATTCACACTTTCACTCTGTAATCTGTAATTGTTGCATGTTCAAAGTAAAACTGGCTAAAGTTTTGTTTCCTTTAGAGGCGCTAGTGAGTTAAATGTGTGAATGTATTTACTTTGACATAAAGATCAGATCCCAGCTGATTCCAAGATTTTTTATCATATATTCCATTTATTTTTCTAATAGCCATCTTTTCAAAGAACAACAAGCCCATAAAAATGGGCAATGCTGCTTACAATCACCAAGTGTATTTATACTCTTAGCAGGCCTTAGGAACACAGCCAATTAGAAAAGAGATGGCTTTCAGAGAGAAGAAAAAACCAGGGTGTTGAAAATAACTTCTCTCAGATGAAGGAAGAACACAGGCTGTCAGACCTGCAAGTGTGGAATACATAAGCTGGATTGCAACCAAAAAATACACTTCTAATAAAAACATATTAAGTACCTTCCACTTCTTCGTAGCTCTTCTGAAGATCCCATTTATTCTGTGTATGATGGGAAACTCTATCTCCTCTCTTTTGAACTGGTAATGTATGTGCTGAAAATGACATGTTTAAATCACGTTACATACATTACAAAAAAAACCAAGCTGTGTTCAGCTTTGCTATGTCTTTAATATGCTTGTTGCTTAGTGCAGCACCATCAAAACAACCACTTAAATTTTATATAGTTCAATATGTCTTTACAACAGTAGTTACTCGTTACTATGATCTGTAATAGGACACTTACAGCTCTTCTCTTCTTAATCAGTTCCAAGACGTTGATTTCATACTGTAATAAAGAAACAAATCAACACACTGCAGGAGGAGCTTTCAACATTGAACATTGTAATTACTTATGTTGCTTTGACAACTGATCACATTGTGTGGCAGTGATCCTCTACCTGAATGTATGCAATAAAGTCGTCCTTGTTTACTATCAACCTGTGGAGCTTGTACTCCAAAGCTGTTGCCCTCTTGATTAAGGATCTAAATATGTTAAAAACAAAAAAAGAAACATTTTAATTCAGTTTTGGACCAACAGAATTTGCCAAAACACACCCCCAGGAAGAGAGTGAAAGGCATGGGAGATACACTCAAACACAGTCTCGAGAAATAATTGAGAAAAAGGAGCTGTGTGACAGAAGAAGTCGTTCCTTTCAGAGCAGATATCACAAAACTTGATAGATGGAATAATACTTGGCTTGTGGACAAGAATTACGGTATTCAACAAAATCCATCAACTCAAATACGTACAAGAATGAAAATATAGAAGGTTTGATGGTAATGGTTTGATTTTTTGCAGCTTTTGATTAATTTTCTTTAGAAAAATAGAAATCCCAGTGCTCTTTCCTCTCTGTCTCTGAGTATTGAAACCTTTCTTACTTGACTTCTTTCTTGGTAAACAGCCCCACTCTTTCCAGCTGCTCCAACTCAGGGATCCTGTCCTCAATCCGCTGCTGAACGATCTCCGCCATATTGTTGGCAAAGCCGTCACAAGAGTCTCAGGACTGTTAGTTTGTGCTATTTAATTTCTTATTTAAATAGGTTTACACTTAATCCCAATAAGATCAGAGCAAACTGCACTGGATTCTTACTGTACACATGTGTAGAAGGTATGGTCACGAATGTTCCGGTTGCGTCCGTAAATAGGCCCCCCGGAAACAGGGGGAAAATACTGTATAGGTGCCGTTTATGGTGTCTGTAGTTTTGCAATTTGTATATATACTGTATAACCATTTTAAAATAATGAATAAAATTTGAATAAAATAAAAAAACGGGACATATTTATTAAGTTGAATTTAAAATGTTAATAGAAATTACTCCGATTAAACGAATTTCCAATGTAAGATTTAAACAACCGTCATGCGTTTACGGGAAAGAAATAAATTATTCTTGTAGTTACTTTAAAATCCGCAAATGTTAGGTTTAATGTATATGCTAATTTTGGTTTACATAGCGTTTCTTAAATATTGTAAAAGCTTTCAATGAATATACTATATTCAATCAAATTTAACTCAAGCATGTTTACATTGGTTACTTTCTAATTCACTTCAATACTATTAGAATTTAATGTTTTAATGTTTGTAACATAAGGTAATTTACTCTAAATAATGTAAATAAATGCAGTGATATAAAACAAAAGTGTACGGTGATGTGATACATTGCGGTACACTTGTATATGGTACATAATAGTATGTATATCGTATTATGTTGTTACTACTTTAGTTTTTTGCGTTGATTTTGTAATCTGCCTTCATGCGTTTATCTATCTCTATATATATATATATATCATCTCAAGATGACTAAATGTCTCGCACGTCCCTGTATTTATTTGATTTCCTAAATCGTTCAATTTATTTTTTCACAACTGCACGCTATCGAGGTATATACGTAATTTATTGGATTTAATGAAAATTATAGATGGGTTCTGGTCAAACAGATTTATGCGTGAGTGGGGAAGTTTTGGCATCAAGTTCTTGTTTTTCAGAAGCCTGATCAACTGGATTTCCCGCAAAATCGTGGGAAGCAAGAGCGCTTATATGTCACATCCGGAGATTAGCAGCCAATCACACCGCTGAATTATCTCGGTTCGTTTGCTATTGGCTGACAACTGACTGGTGCTCTGTTGTTCAGTACAAATAGAGGGGACGTTATCGGCATTAAATCAAATATATATGATCAATAATTTTTTAAAGATTTTAATAGTCCTCGCGATACTAAGTAGTAATTGTGGTAGGTGACTGTAGGAGAACTTTGTTGGCAGGGAGGTTTGTTTTTAAGTAAACTATGCTAGCAGTGCTAGCTAACTAGCATCCGTCTCGTCGCCTCCTCTTCATGGATTTTTGCTGTTGAGTGTGCCAGGCTTGTGCTAGATGCTGCGAAGCTAAAAAAATTAATGCCATCAGCAAGGGTGGGTTTCTTATTATTCCAAGCAGTATTTTATATATATCTTATTTAGACTTTTTTACTTTAGGATTTATATTTCATGTTGAAATCACAGGTATAGCAAGCACGTTAGCACTGCATTTACCAGAGCTAGTTAGCAGAACTGCTAATGCAACTATCAACCCTAATTGCTAAGCTAACTTGTACTGGGACCATTTGTTTTTGTTTTATGTAATATTTCAATAAATTGCTGTTCTTACTCGCAGAACTCAGGTCATATTATGAGTGGGGCGAGCTGCAAAGCTAACGGTGCTGTATACACCGCCCCAGCCGCAATGATGAGCGCCGTGAAGAAGCCGAAGATGGAGCAGATTCAGGCCGACCATGAGCTCTTCCTACAGGCCTTTGAAAGTAAGATTTCACCGCTCTTTGGTCTGTAACCCATTTCTGACATGCCTCTACTTACTTTACCTATTTCCAAGAAAGTGGCACGAAATTTCAGTTTGATTAAATAACCTTTGGTGAAATAGACCCACTTATCGGTATAATTCATAAGTTTAATCATATGTACAAACAGCACGGTTAACACCCATACTTTTTGTCCATATTAATCACGGTTATAGGATGCCCTGCCAAGTCGACATTCACTTGCCAGCACAAGGCTGTTGGCTGTTTATGCATGTATTTCTCAGACATGAAAACTGAAAGGCATAAGCATGGTCGAGTGCATAATCAAACAGGACACTTACATTCTTACTCAAGTTTATTATTACTCAATTATAAATTGGGAAATTTTGCTTATTTGTAATTAAAATAACTGAGTTATTACACAGGAGCTGTGCCTGACTAACTTTTTATCTGTTCCTAGAACCAACTCAGATATACAGATTCCTCCGCACAAGGAATTTGATTGCAGTAAGTGAACTTCTTAAATCATTTTTCCAAATGTTGTAATTACTTAAGTGCTTTCAACTGCTAACTTAAAATGATTGACATGTTAACCCCCCATCCCCACCCCCTTCTTTTTCAGCCCATATTTTTGCACAGAACCCTTACCTTCATGTCTCACAGAAATAGTCGAACAAATGCAAGACGGTATGTTATTTTCAGTTGTGTAAAAACATGAATTTTGTTGCTCGAACCAAGTTTTAAACAATTATTTGTACCATACTCTTATTTTCTATCATTGAATTCCTCATTTTCTGCTAGGAAAACATTCAAAGTGGATGACATGTTGCAGACAGTGGAAAAAATTAAAGGAGAGCAGGATTCTTTAAGGTAAGAAACCTCTGTGAGACCTAAAAGCCTTGCACGTTCAGGGCTTAAATCACTTGATTTGAAGCCAAACTTACTTTAAATGAGTGCCGGTCATTTGCCAGTTTGTTAGAAAGCAGGATTTTCGTTTTAGTTTGAATTTGTTGGTGTTTATTATGCCAGTAAAGTTAAGCTAAAACTAACGTAACATATACTAATGTTAATGCTATCACATTATTTACTGAATACCGCTTGGGACATTTATATTAATGCTACTATTCCAAGTTGGATTTATCTATCATATTTTTTTTTGTTTATAAATTCAATTTGAGTATTGACGGTTTCAGATATTGATCTGGATTTTTAAGATGTTTTGGATACATTTTAACGATTAAAAATCCATTCTGACGCAATTTAAAATAATTTGTTCTGCAATTGACTCCAAATTGTATTCAAACTTTGATTACATTCATCGGTGTCCTTTTTTTTTCTTTCTCTTTTTTCCACACTCTAGCTTGTCTTCACACCTACAGTTAACATTCACTGGGTTCTTCCATAAGGATGGTAAGCAGATGTCAACTTTTCTTGTTTTTTATTTATTTGAAGAAAAATGTTCAAGTTAAATTAATGATAGAAGCTCCCCCTTTTTTGTCAGGGTTGTGTTTATATATTGTTTAAAACTGACAGAATGGTTGACCAAACTCTTCCTTTTGCCTCTCAGAAAAGCCATCTCAGAATTCAGAAAATGAACAAAATTCTGTGTCATTAGAGGTGCTACTTGTCAAAGTCTGCCATAAAAAACGCAAGGTAAAGTCCAATCTCATTAAGCTGGCCACTCGCTTTAGCAGCAATCCTCTTTTGCTCTGAATTGCCACTGTTGTAATGGTAAACTCTTTCCCCAGGATGTCAGTTGCCCCATAAAGCAAGTGCCTACGGGTAAAAAACAGGTGCCTTTAAACCCTGACAGCAACCAAAACAAGCCTGGCTCCTACCCGTCTTTACTCATCCCGAGCAATGAGTTTGAGCCCAGCAACAGCCACATGGTGAAGTCCTACTCACTCCTCTTCAGGGTGTCCCGCACAGGAAGGAGGGATACCAATGGGCTGATTAACGGAGAGGCCAACGAGAACATCGGTACGCCCACTTTAAATGGTCAAAGGCAATTCTTGATACTGGATGTGATTGTTGTCAGACATAAAATTTCTCATGCTATATATTTTTTTTGTAAATTTTTCTGTTAAGATGTAACAGACACTTCCAATAGAAAGAAAAGAAGTTCATCCCATAGGGACGAGGGCGAAACCACAGAGACCTTTATCGCACAGATGACTGTCTTTGATAAGAACAGGTAAGCTTAGTGTTTTTAATCTTTATTTTATTTTTATTTTTTTCCCCTGTTGATTTTTACCATAATCCTCAAATGAATGCATTGTTTTTGTTTGTTTTAAAGGAGGCTGCAACTGCTGGATGGGGAGTATGAGGTGTCCATGCAAGGCATGGAGGACAGCCCTGTTAGCAAGAAGCGAGCCACGTGGGAAACCATTCTTGATGGGAAGGTAGGCTGCCGCTACCAACGTGTTTAGACTTGGAACTGTAATGGCCTCTCTTTCTTTGATGTTTAGATCGTGGACAAAGGTTCACCTTCTTTTTAGCTGGTTACTCTTCAGGCTAATGTTGGCTATTCTTTAAATTCAAGTCTTTATACAGTGACAGCTGCTAACATCTGGCTCTTAACAGAAGCTAAGGGCCAAACACAGCTTGCTCCTTTGACTGAATGAAATATCTCACACAAACATTTTTTTTGTAGGGGGGTTCTCCTTGTCTTCCTTTTTTTTTCTTTTTTTTTTTTTTTTTTATTGACACAACTGAAAGTCCACATTGAGTAATCACTGCCTTAATTATATAGTACATTAGGTTCATTCCTATTTTATATATACATATATCACCAAATTACAACAAATGTCATCTTGCGGCACTTCAATGATACAATCCAGTTTTAAGCCAATTGGAATCCAGTTCAATTCCAGTTTCAAAGTAGTTCTGTTCATACAGAGCTCCCTTTTACTTCTTAAGGAAACCAATGGATTGCACTGAATAGTCCTTTCAATCCATTTACCCATCCTAAACGTGCACAAGGTACCTGTGGAAAGAAAAAAAACAACTCTCATTTAACAGGCAGAAATATCTTGCAGAACCAGACTCAGACTGTTAAATTCAGAATAGAATGAAGAGAAATATGATTTATTCTGCTTGTTTTAATCCGATCTATTTTCAAAGGTGTTTAAAATCATATGGGTGAGGGCAGCAAGTGCTCTTTTGGTCATTTTCTTAAAAAGAAGGGTTGATCAAACAGGCTGCTATAAGCTGTCAATTATTGGGAGAAGCTGAGGATTCTGATGTACACTGGGAACAAATGCAGTAAAAAGAGCCATGTAACACCGTGCTGGGAATTTTATGGAATACAGTCTCAGATTCGTGTCTGATTTTAGAAAATGCATTTTTCTAGCTCT